CCGGAATTGAGTCCCACATCGGGCTCCCTGCTCAGCTGGGGGTCTGCTTCTCCCTCTGACCCTCTTCCCTCTCGTGCTCTCTGTCTCTCATTCTCTCTCTCTCTCAAATAAATAAATAAAATCTTAAAAAAAAAAAAGTGCATGAGGGTTCCTAAAATGTACTTATTTTAAATGTGCAATTCAAAAAGGGGGCGCCTGGGAGACTTGGTCAGTTAAGCGTCTGCCTTCAGCTCAGGTCATGATCTCAGGGTCCTGTGAGGGAGTGCCGCGTCTGGCTCCTTGATCATTAGGGATTCTGCTTCTCCCTCTTCCTCTGCCCCTGCTTCCCCCCCCCGCCCCTCCTCCCCCACTTGTGCACGCTCTCTCTCAAATAATCTTTAAAAAAAAATAAATGTACAATTCAATAAGATTTGATAAATGGAAATACCTATGTAACCACCACCATTGTCAAAGTACAGATCATTTCCGTCACCCAGAAAAATTCCTTTATGCTCCTTTATAGTCATCACCCCTGCCCCACCACTGGCCTCAAGTAACTTTCTGGCACTATAACTTGGTTTTGTCTTTTCTAGAATTATATAAGTGGAATCATAAAGTAGTCACTCTTTTGTGTATTTTGCTGAGTGTTTTTTGAGATTCATCCATCTTGTTGAATCTGTCAGTAGTTTGTTCTTTTTTATTACTGAGTAGTATTCCATTGATTGGACGTACCACAATTTATCCATTCACTTCTTGATGGATACTTGGGTTGTTTCTAGATTTTGGCTATTATGAACAAAGGTAAGAGTTGAAATTTATTTTTTTCCAACTTGACTTGTTCAAAAGACTTTTACATACTGAATTACTTTTGCCCCTATCTTAAACAATCTATTCCTATGTAACAGATTAACACAAATCTTACTGGGCTTAAAGCAACATTAATCATTTATTGTCAGTTTCTGTGGATCAGGGGTTGGGAGTGGCTTGACTGTAAGGTTCTGACTTATGGTCTCATAAGATTGCAATCCTCTAAATTAAGGCTTGACTAAAACTGCAAGATACACTTCTGAAGGGGGCTCACTCACATGTTTGGTAAAGTGTGCTGTTGGTAGGAGTCCTCAGTTCCTCTCCAGTTGGGTCTCTCTGAAGGGCTGATAGTTAAATGTCCTCATGGCATGGTGAGTGGCTTCTCTTAGAGAGAATGATCCCAGAGACCATGGTATAAGCTGCAGTGCCTTTTAAAGGAGGTCACATATGGTCACTTCTGCCATATTCTATTGGTCACACAACCAATCTTAGGAAGAAACTACACAGGGATATGAAAACTGAGAGTGAACAGTACAAGTTATGAATACCAGGAGGCCAGGATCCTTGGGGGGTTATCTTGAAGGATGGGTATGACAGTCCCTCCATCAAAAATGAACTGAAGATATATATGTGGTTTTATTTCTGGATTTAATTTGGTGCCACTGATCCGTTTGTCTTTATGACAGTAACAATATCTTTATTACTGTAGTTTTATATTATGTCTTAAAATCAGTGTAACACTTTTTTTTCTTTTTCAGAACTGTTAACTATACTAAGTTATTTGCATTTTCAAAAAAATGTTAAAGTCATCTTATCAGTTTTTACAAAAAAGAAACCTGCTGATTGGGATTGCATTCAATCGGTAGACCCAGCTTGGAGAGAATTGACATCTTAACAATAATATGGACATATCTTAATATAATATGGCACGTCTCTCTAATTACTATGTCCTTAATTTCTCTGAGCCATGTTTTGTAGTTTCAGTATATAAGCGTTGCACATATTCTGTTAAATTCATCTTTTAAGTATTTTATTTCTTATTAGATACTATTGTAAATGGTATTTTTTTGGTAAATGGTATTTTTTAAATTACATTTTTCAGTTCTTTGAGAGTACATACAAATATAATAGTTATTTTTTTTGTATCAACCTTTTATCCTGAAATCTTGCTAAATTCACCTGTAAGTCTGGTAGCTCTTTTTGTGTATTGTACATATGGGATCATGTTATCTGTGAATAAAGACAATTTTACTTCTTCCTTTTGCATAGGCTAGACCCTACTATATCTAGCTTAGAACAATGTTGAATAGAAGTGGAAAGAGCAGACATATTAGTGGGAAGAAAAAGAAAAACTGTATAATACCAATAGATGCAGAAAAAGTATTTGGAAAAAATCCAATATCCATTCCTGAGAATCCATGTAAATGTAAACTCTTAAGAATATAAAAGTGTATAAAGAAGATGTGAAACCAAAAAGTTTGAGTTTGATTAGAGTAACCAAAATGCTAACTGCTTGGAGGAGGTAGGGATTCATAATCTAGGGTCCCCAACACTTGTATAGAAAAAAAAAAAAAATCTTTATTTTTCCTTAACCTCTAGTATTTGTTTCTATTTTGAGTGCAGGCAACAAACCACAGTAGTGATATTAGCAGCAACTGTTAACTTTGTCACCAACAAATACTACTTTTAACTTTCCTTGTATCTTTAAAGTTTGTTTCTTGACAACATGGTTAGGTCTTGCTTTCTTATCTTGACTTCGAATTGGAATTTTGGAATATTGGAATAGATGATTTACATTTAATGTAATGGTGTGGTTGCCTTTTAATTCTGCTCTCCTGCTGCTTGTTTTATATTTTTCACATCTTTTCTTTGTTCTTTTCTGCCTTTTTGTATTTTTTCTGCTGTTTTTTGGATGAATCAGTTTGTTTTCATTGGCTGCTCTGGGTTTTACAGTATGTATCTTTAACATACGACAGTTTATCTTCAAATAATATTATACTACTACAAATACACTGTAAGAACCTTGAACAATATACTTCCAGTCCCCTTCCTTTTTTTGTGCTATTATTGTGGTATTATTGTGCTATTACTTCTGTGTGTGTTGTAAAACCTTGTAGTACATTGTTATTTAGTTTTGCTTTAAGTGGTCAAAAAGGTCTTGTAGATTAACTCTCATTCACCATTTTTGGTACTTTTTATTCCTTTTGTAATCTTCATTCCTTTATGTAGATCCAGATTTCCGTCTGTTACCGTTTTCTTCTACCCGACGAACTTCCTTTGCTTTTTTTTTTTTTTTAAAGATTTTTTTTATTATTTATTTATTTGAGACAGAGAGGATGAGAGACAGAGAGCATGAGAGGGAGGAGGGTCAGAGGGAGAAGCAGACTCCCTGCCGAGCAGGGAGCCCGATGGGGGACTCGATCCCAGGACTCCAGGATCATGACCTGAGCCGAAGGCAGTTGCTTAACCAACTGAGCCACCCAGGCGCCCTTCCTTTGCTTTTTTTAAATGGTACTGGTAAAATTTTTTCCCCAGCTTTTCCTTCTTCCTTCCCTCTTTCCTTCTTTTGTTTCCTTTCATTTCCTTTTCCTTCCTTCCTTCCTTCCTTCCTGAAAAAAAACTTTATTTCACTTTCATTTTGGAAGGATAGATTCATTGTATTTAACATTCTAGATTCACCATTTTTTTCTTTAAGCATTTTATTTTATTTTTTTAAGATTTTATTTATTTGAGAGAGAGAGAGCACAGGGGGCAGGGGTGAGTGAGCAGAGGGAGAGGGAGAAGCAGACTACACACTGAGCCTGGAGCCCTATGCAGGGCTCAGTCCCACGACCCTGAGATCATGACCTGAGCAGAAACCAGGAGTCTGATGCTTAACCGACTGAGCTACCCAGGCGCCCCTTCTTGAAGCATTTTAGAGATACTCCATTTTCTTCTGTCTTACATATCTTCTCAAGAAGTCAGTCAGTCTTCTGGGATTTCAAGTGAATTGCCTGTTTTTCAACAAGGGGAACTTTCCTGACCAAAACTCCCAATATTTCTCAGCACCTGGAATTGTTCAGCTTATAGATCCCTATATATTCTTTGCCTTTACCTCATGGAGTTTCATCCTGCATGCTCTGCTTAATGTTTGGTCAGAGACTCGAGTGAACGCCTGTGCAGATTTCTGGAATTTTCTGTGCTTAACCCCCTCTTCTCTGATACACATTCTGGTCTCTGCTTGAGTTCTTCCCCCCTGTACCTCAGTCTGAAAAGTGCCTCCAGGTAGAAAGCCAAGGCAGGTGTAGGCCTCACTTCATTTTGTCACATCACTCGGCGATCAGAGTCCTATACTGCTTATTGTCAAATGTCTGAAAACAGTTGTTTCACGTATTTTATCTGGCTTTGGTTTTTACTGTGGGATAGAAAGTCCATTCATACTTATTCCATCATGGCCATTAGAAATTCTTTCCTGCCTTTTTACCTTTTAAGATAACTGTGGAGATAAAAAAGATAAAGTTTATATTTCTTTTTTTTTTATCCTTTCTAGCAATTTGGGCCTTATGGAGTATATTGCTAATACCTACTTATAGAGTTTTAACAATTTCATTAATTAACATCCCTTTCGTATCCTAATAATTTTCAAGGTAATATTTTACATGGTTCAGCTATAATAGAATAATGATCAAAATAGTATATAATTACCATGATATTTTAAGCAAATAAAATAACATATACTTTAATGCTAATGAGTGAATTTTTCAAAAAAGTGTGTTAGTTGTTTAAACAATAGCTTTATAAAGAATTGGGTTCATGATTGTAGTTATAAGACAACTACTAGTTTTATTTTTTTTTTCTTTTTCTTTCTTTTTATTCTTATGTTAATCCCCATACATTACATCATTAGTTCTAGATGGACAACTACTAGTTTTAATCACCTTATTTTCTAGTCAGTCACTTACAAGTAACAGTTACTTACAAGTAACATGAACAGGCTCTAATGGTGATTGATGCCTAGTCAGAGATGATCTTTAATGAATTAAAATGCCTGGCAGTAGTCCTATAAACTTAGCTTAGAATCTGCATGGTTTTACTGTGTGCCTGTCTTCCTCTTAATAGTCTTAAAGGAAAAAGCAAACAAAAAACAAAATACCATATATTTCATGTAACAGTTGCACATTCTTGGCTATTCTCAGCATGTTTATTAATCTTTAGGTTTTTGTTTTTTTCCCCAGATTGTCAGTATTTAAACAGACCACATCATGCGTGAGTACAAGCTAGTGGTCCTTGGTTCAGGAGGCGTGGGGAAGTCCGCTCTGGTAAGTTAGCCACCTAACTCTAACTTAATTAGTATAGTACAAGAAGAACATTGATATTTGCTTGCCTTAGATGTTTAGTCATTAGTGAGAAAAGGTGGCAGTATTTTTTATATGCCTAGTATCTGGCCTGCAGGAGGGGACAGAGATTCATTCAGTAACCACACATGTGTACAGTGTGTACAATGGTGGCTCATTCATTCTTTCCCTTACCAAATATTTACTGGCTGCCTACCATGTTCTAAGCACTCTGTGATTGTGATTCAAAGAGGAATAAGATTGTTCTCATTTTTTAAGGAACTTACATTCCAGGTGGGGAGGACTGATTATTTCAGATACTAGTGGAGTAAGTCCTGCCTGCTCCCACCCCAGACTTAAGTGAAATGAAGTTAGTTTTTGTTTATTTAGTAAATATTTATTGAGATTCTACACTGTCAACTCTAGGGTTACAGCAGTGAACAAAAACAGTCATAGTCCCTCAGAGCTTACCATATAGTGAAGGAGATACAATAATTAACAAAGTTAAATGAAGAACTACCTCATTATAATTGTGAGAGAGATACTTTGAAAGAAAAGTACAGACTGTTAAGAGAGACCCTTATGACAAATGAACCTCAATTAGCATTTGAACAACTGAGAACAGGTCACAATTGCCAAGGCAGGAGTGAACTGGAAGGAAAGTAGAAGGAATGAAGTGAGAGGCAGGGACCACGTCATGACTTGAAGACCATATAACAACTTGAAACTTACTCCTAATGACAGTGAGAAGCCATTGAAAGTGTTTTTTTTCGGGGGTGGGAGGGGTGTTGACAGAATTGGATATATATTTTAAACAGAACCTGTGTGAAGTAATTTAGAAGAGAAGCTGAGTGGACATGGGAGACCAGTTGGGAGTTAACTCTGAACCCGATTGTTTGTGGAACCTTATATTGGGGCTGTGCCAGCGAAGAAGAGAAAAGTAGATGTTTTGAGAATTAAATAACTTGGTGCTGGATTGATGTGAGGACTAGGAGAGAAGGAGCTGTTGAGGATGATTCCCAAATTTCTAGTTGTTGAGCTACTAATTTTATGGATGGATCATTTAAGTAAAAAGGAAACACTGGAGAGTGAGCAGATCTGAGAGTAAAAATCAAGAGTCATGTCAAATTTGGTTATGTGAGATGTTAAAGTAAATACATCAAATAAGTAATTGGATCCTCAAGATAATAAGCTTAAGAGAGACTTGTGATATGATTTGGGGCGCCATGAATATATCAACGGTATTTAAGTTCATGAGAATTATGTTACTTTTAAATTAGTACCTGTAAATTAGTACCTCTGTGGTGAATGAGAATATCTGTCATTTTATTTTATTTTTTTTTATTTATTTTATTTTTTTTAAGCTTTTATTTATTTATTTGACAGAGAGAGTGAGAGAGCACAAGCAGGGGGAACAGCAGAGGGAGAGGGAGAAGCAGGCTCCCCGCCTAGCAGGGAGCCCGATGCGGGGCTCGATCCCAGGACCCTGGGATCATGACCTGAGCCGAAGGCAGACGCTCAACCATCTGAGCCACCCAGGCGCCCCAATATCTGTCATTTTAGATGCACATATTCAGGGTACCTGGCTGGCTCAGTCGGAAGAACATGCGACTCTTGATCTTGGGATCGTGAGTTTGAGTCCCACATTGGGTATAAAGATTACTTAAAAAAAAAATAATAATAATTTAAAAAAATAAAAATAAATGCATATAACTTTCAGCAAGTCTCTTGAAATTTCACGTATAAGTTCATATATACAAAATAACATGGTCAAGGATATCGATCACAACATTCCTTACAGTGGTAAGAGTTTGGAAACAACCTAAATGTCTACCAGTAGGGGCTGGTTAAAAGTAAGTTTTTAATATACATTTTGAGTAGAATAATATATAACTATTAAAAAGAATGCAGCAGCTCTGTATATACTGATATATAGTGATATCTAAGATGTATTATTTAGGGGGGAAACAGGTACCAAACAGTGTAGACTATCATTTGATAAGAAAAAAAAGGAGGCTAAGGGGGAAGATAGTAAAAAATGTAGAGACTATCTCTGCAAGGTTAAATAAACTACAGATAACATACTGGTTACTTGGGGGTGGAATTGGATAATTGGGAACAAAGGTGATAGGTAGGTTTGGTTACCACTGCATACTCTTTTGTGTCTTTTGTATTTTGTCCTCTGTCCATGGGATTACCTTTTCAAAAATAAATAAAATAATTGAAAATAAAAATCCATAGGAATAAGTGAGGTTGTCTAGGAAGAGACTAGAGAAAGAAGAACTCAGGACTGAGCTCTGAGTACTTCTCAACCTTTAAAGAGTAGGTAGGATTGAAGAATCCAACATAGAAGAGTATATCTTATACTTGCATGTAAGGAAAGCAGCTTTACTTTAAGTCAAGTAAAGGAGAGGAAAGAGATGATACAGAAACATGGAGGTAGCTGGACTTGTTAAAGGCAAGCTTCAGTAAGGTCATAGTGCCATAACCATGCTGGGGTGATTTAAAGAGTAAATGAGTGCTGAAGAAACAGAACCACGATTGTAGACAGATGAAGTTTGATTATGAGAGGGAACAGAGAGGGGAGGTGAAGCCGGAGGAGTTGTGGAGTTAAGGGAAATTTTTTATTTCTGGGTGGGAGATGGTAGAGCAAACGGTTTGTGTGCTGGAGGCAGTAATCCCGTGGAAAGGACAATGAAGACATAGGAGAGGAAGGGAATAATTGTTACAGGGGTCAAAAGTTCAAGAAATAACAGAAGTAAAATTAATGAATCATTGAAGTGGTAATTAGTAAGTTTATTGTGCACACACCAAAAAGACAGTTTGCAAACCGGGAACCTTCAAAACCAGAACATGGAATGAGGCTCAGGGGTATATTGTTATAAAGCAGCTTATAGAGTGAGAAAACAGTGGCTTTATTCTTCAGTGACTGGTTATAGTGTTAGAATTTTCTTTAAATGATAGAGAATTGGTTAGTGGTTACCTCAAATCAACCTTGGGAAACAGTGTAAGTTTTGCTTTTGACTTCCAGAAGCATAAGCAAGAAATGACCCCCAGGTCAATTTAGCTTTGCTAAATAAACTAAATTAAGCTTTGTTTACAGACTAAACTGGTTTTATCTGCTCAGGGAATTTTCAGGCTGGTCTCTGTTTTTGATTTTAACACAGAAAGGACAGTAGGTAAGGAAGGAAGAGGAGGATCCAGTAGGAAAACTGAAGGTATAAAAGTCGGTATGAATGAATAAGATGTCCCTGAGAACTGAGGAGATGAGATTCAGAGAAACAATGAAAGCTTGCTTTAGGAAGAAGGAAGTGAAAAGTGGGAGATTGTTTTTCATTTTTGCTAGTCTCTAACAACCGCTTAGAGAAAGCACTTGGGTTCTCATACCTGCTTCTGCATCTAGTATCTAGCTATAACATGTTATATACCCTTTGGAAAACACTGTAAATTTATGAGAGTAAGCAAGTACGTCATGGTATTATGAGGACAATAGGTTTTGTTCTAAACATCTGCTCTGGACCACATTTTGAGAACCTCTGTTCTAGTATAAAGCATATTAGGAAGTTTTCCATGTTTGAATTCTATGTAGTGCTAAGAAGCTGAGGTGATTAAATCCTTGATAAAAATAACGATTAAAGTTTTTGGTGTAATTATATCCTGAGTCTCCTTTGAAGAACAGGAGCTTAGAGGAAGAAGTGTGAAGTTTACTATATTCCAGCTAATGTGTTTAGCTCAAGCTAAAATCGTGCATGATTTAAGTGTAGGTGACCTCGGGCCACATTCTTACCCTTCCTTGCTTTTAGGTGACAATGTACCAGACCTTGTTTCAAAGCTGTCCAGGCAATATTTCACAACCATCTTCCGTACTTCTTTTTATTTACCAAATGATAAAATACCTAGTTTCAAGTCTGTATTTATAGAAATCTTAGAGAAAGAAGTAGGTAACCTGAAAAAGATGAGTAGGCAGTATTTCCGATGAAAAAAGTAAGGCTTTGGAATCAGAAAGGTTGTATATTTGAATCTCAGCAGCAAATGGGAAAAATACCTACTTCTAGGGAGAACATGAAACTTGAATGTGACTGTAAATTTAGTAAATTCAGTACTTTCTAATTTCCTTTTCTCTTTTCCCCCACAATTAGACTGTTTTAAGATTTTCAAAGATTTAGAACCTTTTGTTTATTCCTTTAAGAGCATGAAATAAAAGTTACTATAGATGCGTAAAGAGGTATTTGGAGTTTAAATACTGATAAATTTTCATTTTTTCATTAATTTGGATCTGTGTCCTTATTTGTATCTTCATTGTATTTTGAAACTTAATATAGTAATTATTTCACAGTGGGAATTGGCTGCAGTATTGTTGACAGCTTTTTAACACAACCGCTTCCTTTCTCAATGTGCCCTCTTAGTTGTGGGTGTATCCCTGTATTGAAAAATAATGAGACTGTACATCTGCATGTTTACTCAAAATTTTCACATAATTTCATTTAGTCTTTATCACTTATAAGGGTGTAAGTAGCATTCTAGAAGAGTTGATTTTTCTTTTAAGTTCTTAATTTTTCTCTGCTTCTTTTTTTCTAGACAGTTCAGTTTGTTCAGGGAATTTTTGTTGAAAAATATGACCCAACGATAGAAGATTCCTACAGAAAGGTAAAATGTGAAACTTGTGTACACATGCTTACCAATAGTTCCTTGGGACTTTAAAACTTGACCCATAGAATTGCTTTTTAAAAATATTTTTTGAGAAGTGATACAAATGTTTCATACCTGTTTTTAAAAATTTCACAAGGACAGAATATTTCTCATTAAATACTACTTAGCTAGAGAACTCTATGCTCTGTTACTGATTAGTAATCTGTTCTTTAGTGTACACATTTTCCTGGTGGAGGGTTTTTTTTAATTTAGAAAAATTGCATATAAATAGGTATATTTTTGACAACTCTTTTTGTGAAGTAAAATTAAGATCGCTTTTATTCTCGAAGTTATCCTGTGACCAAAAGTTTTTATTTTTGTTTAGTTTTAGAATAACTTTAAGGGATTTCATCTTTAGACTATAAGAAATTAGATACTGGATTCTACATGATACCATAATGGTAGCTACATGTCATTACACATTTTCCCAACCCATAGAATGTACAACACCAAGAGTAAACCCGTAATGTAGACTGTGGACTTTGCATGATAATGATGTCTCTACGTAGGTTCATTGAGTCTAACAAATGTGCCACTCTGGTGTGGGAGGCTGATGGTAGGAGAGGCTAGTGGGAAGCAGGAGAAGGGTATATGGAAACACTGTACTTTCTGCTCAATTTTATTGCGACCCTAATGCCAAAGTTCTAAAACATAAAGATTATTCAAAAGAAAAAAATTCAGTAGTCTTGACAGAATACTATTTTATTTCATTATAAGACTAACATTATGAGGAATGTTCATGATTTTATTTCCCAAGTATGTTAAGGGGGAAGGAAGAGAATTAAACCTACCTCTCAACAAATAGGAAAGGATTACTTTGTTAAATGTTGTAGAATTTATCTTTAATAGTGTTACAAGTTTTGTTAAATTATGTAAGCTCATCCAGCCATACTGGCAGAGCAGTTTCGTTATCTGCAAATTGGAAATAAAGTTGTGTTCCAGGTACATTGAGAAACTACAGACCTAATTCATTGTTCACTGAGCATGCCCACTTACTGATTGTGCAGATGACCACAGGAGTCCTGTAAGTGGTGTGACACTGAGTTTGTAGGTCCACCAGTGGTGCTTCTCAGCAATCCCTGATCTGACGCAGAAGATTTTAAAATAGGCCTTATGTTAATACACTTATTTTTAGAAGACAGTGTTGCCGTACTAAAATTGCTCCCAAACAAGTTGCTGGCTAAAGCTGTAACTACAAACAGATCTGTACCTAGAATGTTGAAGAGTGGACTTTTCTTAATCACTTCTTTATTAAAAATTTTCCACACAGTTGATAAGTTGATACTTCTTTTAGGCCAACCTTCTCTTACTTTATAACGGAAATACAATTCAGTATATAAAATTTCACCTTATGCACATAGCTTTTCCAAAGACATACCTTTTCCTTAAAGTCTTGAGGACTGTATGAGTTCAGTGTTACTCATTTTAGCACCTCTGCATTCCCCTTATCTCTTAAAATTTTCCTATATTAAATTTGGGGCGTATTTTAGTAAAATTTTCTTTAAAATCTTATCTGCATTTTGAGCTATTTAATACTTTTGTGCTTTGTTTTCTTTGAAGAGAATACAAATATACATATTTTTATACATTTTTATTTCTGTTAGAACTATACCTGTTTGTTGCAGTTTTTCTTAAATTGGAGTCTATGACCGTTACCTTCTAATAATAGCAAAAATCATTACTCAGTTTATAGTGGTCAGAAAATATCTAAACTCAGCATTAACAGTCCTGGCTTCCGTAGTATTAATAGAACGTGCTTGAGACCTCCTGTTGTTTATTATAGTGCCAAGTTAAGTCTCAGCCAATAGAGCAAACTCCTAGAGAAAAGGCTTTGTAGTTGTTAATAGGTACTTGGAGTAAAGAGGTGGCAGGAAAACAGACTGACATTTTGATTTTGATATTACTCTTTCATTTTTCCTCCCTTCCCCAACAGCAAGTTGAAGTAGATTGCCAACAGTGTATGCTTGAAATCCTGGACACAGCGGGAACAGTAAGGATGTTTTCTCTTTTTCTGATAGATTTTAGTTAACTAGTGAACAGGTTTTGTCATCTGAATAATTCCTCTGAGTAAAAGTAATTACTCTGATTAAGAACAAATTATCTAAATGTAGGGCTTCTTAAATTTTCTTATGTGCTTCCAACCATCTGTGATGTACTTCATGCCCACATACCACTCTTACATTGTATGTCGAGTTCACCTACAGAATGTGTATGTTGGGTATCTTCTCCCAAATTGAGATGAGGATTACCCTATTACTGCTTTTTTTAAAAAAGGTATTTTAAATCCAGAATTTTAGTTAAAATGGGTATTTCTCTGGGTTTATGTAAGACTTTGTCTCTTGGCACCATAGTTTTTAATTTTTATCAAAATTGTTTTTGCCTTTTATTAGTATTTTAACATATCAAGGGGCTGTTGACAGATACATGTTTTCTGACAAAAATCTTCAGGATTATTTTGAGCCTTATTTTTCTCATCTTTAAATGACTACTGTATGATGACATAAGTATATCATAGGGTGCTTGTAATGATCAAATGAGATAATGATTATAAATCACTTGGCATAATGCCTGTTTCATAGTATGAGCTCCAAGTATTTGCTTTTATTTTCATTGCCTTCATTTGTCATCTCTTTTATAATTTTGTTATTAATTACTGATGATTTCCTGTTATACTGCCATAAATGCACACGTTAAGTGATTTTTCTTTTTTTCTCCATACATATAGACTTTACCTATTAGGCAGTTCTCAGCTTTAGAATGGATGGTATTCTTAAATGTTATAAGTTGTTTAAAATTTAGCACAAATTTTCCACATAATTTTATGAATGATGAGAAAGTTTCATGTCATTGAGAAAAGCATATAAGTAGACTGGCGCAATTGTAGTGCTAATGATACTATATTTTTCCATTCTTTTGTGGGAAAGGAAGCTTGGGATCATTAGAACTACATCTTTCTTGTATCTGCTGACTCAAAATATCTCCCCCTTTTGCCATTCCAACCTCCCCTAATTTCCTTAGCCTCTGAATCAGCAGTCATTCCCCTCTGTTCCCAGATACCCCCGTAGTTAAAGAGCACTTTTCTACTTTTTCCTTTCATCACCTCCGCAAGGGTGAAGGAGTTTTTTGTTCTTCCTCTTGTCCAAGTTAAGGAAGTTCTTCCCTACTGTAGAGATCTTTCCTTTGTGCTCTTAAATATCTTGTCATTCTCCCATCCTAGTGCTCAATGTATGGTGTCATAATTGCCTGTTTAGTTGTCTTTGTCCCCAGTGCCTTGCATAAAGCTTGGAAAGTAGTTGATGCTCATTAATCGTGTCCCAGATCACTCCTATTCCTTGAAGAGTTTTGCTCACTCTCTTCATCACTGCTTCCGTCAGAATTCTTGGTGATTTTAGTATTCAAATAGAACCTATATGGATATTATAGATGATCCATTTCCTCGGCCTACCAGTTTATTGACCTCCATACTGCTTCAGCCATTCCCGCCCATGGTCTTACCTAGACTATCTGATTACCAATAACTGTGATACCACCTTCATCTCATTTTCAAGCATGCTACTCTCTACCTCTTGTTTTTCCATCTCACTTCCTTTTATACCTTCAACTTCACTGGAACCTGCAGTCCATTTATCCCACCATCTTTTGATTGTCCTCATATCCTAACCCTCTCTTCACATGGCTTCAAGTCCATGACGTGTCATTCATGATCAGTCCTCTGCATGAGTTGAGGACAACTCCCTTGGACTTTTCAGCAACCTCCAACTCAGTTGATCACTGTCCTCTGTAAAAATTTTATTCATTTGGCTTCCAGGAATCAACACTTGCTTGGTTTTCTCCCTCTCTCATTGGTTACTCCTAAGTCTCCTTTCCTGATTTGTCTTCATCTCCCCAATCCCTTAATGTTGGAGGGCCTCAGGATTCAGTACTCAGGCTTCTCTTTTCTAACAGCACTTTCTTGGAGGTCATCTTTAGTAGCATCAAAATAATTTAATTAGGATCTATATGTACAAAGGAATTATATACAGTTTCTAAACCACACAGAAAGCATGATATTGCATGATAAGGTGGTTAAGATCTCCCTTCTAATCTTCTAATTCCTTAGTTCATTGTCATTGCTTCTAGTTGTATAAGTAGGGAACAAGAACATCTATCTCAGAGTTTCTAGAAACTGTGTAATAGGTCTTATATTTCCTGTCATGATAGAGTGTAAGAAAAAATTGAGTAGCTTACTTGTGATTATTCAGATGTAAATTGTTCCAGTGTACATTCAAGAAATCATACTTATAATTGTACATTTTTTATTATAGGAGCAATTTACAGCGATGAGGGATTTGTATATGAAGAATGGCCAAGGGTTTGCACTAGTATATTCTATTACAGCTCAGTCCACGTTTAATGACTTACAGGACCTGAGGGAACAGATTTTACGGGTTAAGGACACAGAAGATGTAAGTATTTTTCTACTTGTTTTAAAGATTTTATTTATTTGAGAGAGAGAGAAAGAGACAGAGCACGAGCAGAGGGGGAGAGGCAGAGGGAGAGGGAAAAGCAGAATCCCTGCTGAGCAGGGAGTGGAGCTCTATCCCAGGACCCCGAGATCATGACCTGAGCTGAAGGCAGATGCTCAACTGACTGAGCCACCCAGGCACCCCTGTTTTTCTCACTCTAAGACATACTGCTATCTCTCTGTGGCCAAAAAGTGTTTTTGTTTTTCTGTTAAGAGGATTTGGAGGGTATCTACCACAAACCTAAAGGTGTCTCTGTGATCAAAAAATTTTTACAACTTTCTGAATTTACCTACAGATTATATGCTAAGATAGAGGGCATGTTTGATAAAGTGCTCATTGTGCTGTGTGTTAATAAGTGCAGTAGGGAAGAAAGAGGAGTCAGTACTTGGGAGAAGTGGGACTCGAATTGAGCTTTGAAAGGTGGTAGTTATGTCAGAAACAGTGTTCAAAGAACATTAGTAAGAACCATAATGGTATGTTTCCATTTCTAAAATTCTCTTGGTATAGTTTGTACTTAACAGTTTTTTCCTTTGAGTTATGTTGACGATTTTAATTAACTGGGCTTTTATATTTTTTTCATTTTATTTTTGTTGCACAATTCTTATTTGATGAATAACATCATTGCTGTTGTGCCTTTTTGCCTTTAAAGATGAAATGTATATTTTACGTTTTTACCTCAGTTCTGAACTACAGAGAGTTCCGTTTCGGTTGTATAAATTGGGATATAAAATTTCATTTGTACCTTTCTTTCTGTTTTTGCATGTTCTCTCTCATTATTAATGGGAACATATGCATCTGCTCAGGACCTTAACTTTGGGTAATACTGTAGGCGGAAGGGATTTCTACCATATGACTCATGATCAACGTAACCTAATGAATAGTTCTCTTGCTTCCCATGAGTAATTTATCTAAGAGCCTTCTGTTTTCATAGGCAATTATATACAAATCACCGAATTCTGGTGATGTTAATCTCTTTATCTCATGTCATAACTAAAAAAGATGGACTTGTAGATGTCTAGAATGTTTCATCTAACTTGTGATACACTTCTCCCAAGTACTGCTTATTTTAAGTACAAGATCCACCATGTCCCTTAAATCCTTTCTTGTGTGTAGTGTGCATCACCTCACAAATGACTGTGTTCTGTGGACACCTTTTATCTAAGGGTGTTATATAGTTTGTTAGCAACTTGTTTTATTGCAAGTAGGGGCAGCCTTTCTGGTATGGGGAAAAAGGGAAGGCATGGTTGCTTTGTGGCTCTATTTTGTGGGTTATTGTTAAGCTGTTATTCCTTCTTAACATCTCACCTAAACTGGTCTTCAGATCTAATGTCAAACATAGAAGTAGAACCTGTTACTGTGTTGGTCTTGCCAACTACTTTTGGAATTTGTTGAACCTTTGAGATGAAGCACTTAAACCACAGTTAGGCCCAGTGAGTACATTCTTCTCTGCATTGCAGAAGATTCCTTTTCCTTCAGATTTTTGTACTTGGAATTCAGCTATTATTAGTAGTCCACATGAGAATTATGCAATTATATCCTTAAAATAATTTAGCAAATGAACGTAGTAGGATCTCTTCCATATTTTTTCTGTCTCTTCCCCCTCCGTCTACCTTCTTTCCCCAATGTGCATACATAGAATTTTTTTAAGCACTTTGTGAAGCTTATAGTCCTAACTAATACATTTCAATTGGTGACAGGTAGTTGCTTACTTAAAAGAGGCTAAGGAACAAGTATGCTAGTGCTCATATTACGTTTTTTTCCTTCCCACAGGTTCCAATGATTTTGGTTGGCAATAAATGTGACCTGGAAGATGAGCGAGTAGTTGGCAAAGAACAGGGTCAGAATTTAGCAAGACAGTGGTGTAACTGTGCCTTTTTAGAATCTTCTGCAAAGTCAAAGATCAACGTTAATGAGGTAACCTACAGCTGCTAGGCAGCACAAACAAGTGCCTTTTTAGTTACCTTTAAGTTAATAGCCAAAACCAAATTTTTTGAAGAAAAAATTTTCTTCTAAGTGGTCTTGATTCTAGCAGTGTACAGAGAACACTAAGTAATTCCTAGAAACCATATTCCCTCACTTGAGTAAAATCACTTTGATGGCTGTGATGAAGACACTGATATTTACCTTATTGGCAAAGAGAAAGTTTAAGTTAAACAATGTGTTTCAAGTCCTGCTAAGCTTCTGAATGATATGCCAGAAGGTGGTGTGTGCACATGGTCCGGTCACCCTTGCATTGTAACAGTTACCTATGCGCATGTGTGTAAAGAGGTTGTAAAGTCAAGTAGGAAAATACAAAAATCAAAGTAGTTACTGAGCTTGTGAACTTATGTTATACAGAAAGATAATACTATTTTATTTTAAAATATTTTACTTTCCTCATGGATACCACAGAATTTGGTGTTTTGAGTCGTGCCTGCCTTTGGTTTCTGACTCAAAGGGAGGAATCTGTGAGCATGGGCATGGAACTGGAATTCACCCGCTCTTTGAGGCCTGGTGCAGCAGGTGCCCAAGGCTTTTTTTGTCTGTGACTTAAGCCTTCCACTATCCTGAGAACGTAGCTGTGACAGGAAATGCTTAATAAGCATGCCCGCTGCCTGGGTGTCAATCCAATACCCTCCTGGATCCCTGAAAGATCCGTGCACTTTCACCTGCCGCCACCAACCGACCAAAACCTCAAGAGGTTCTCTTTGCTTTTGTTTGTTTTAACATATTTAACATAAGCTTTTTTTAAAAAAAACAACCAGCCAACCAGAGTAGACTTCTTTCCTTTCCCCGTGATGCAGAAGTCTTCACTTGCCAGTTTGCTTGTCATTTGTGGTATCACAGGTCATCGGTCAATTTAGCTCACTTATAACATAGGTGAGACTTATGAGTGCCTTAGGTTATCAGCATCCTGTGTTTTTGTTTGCTGTTTCTCTCTGGCCTTTGGGTCTGTAGGTCACTTTTCCTTGATTTAATATTATGGTTATAGGCTCTTGTTTGACTTTTAAAATGACTAAGTTACTTTAAACATCTGACAGGCAAAAAAATTAAGCTTGCTACAGATCCTCTGTTTTCAAATAACCAAGAATGTTAAAGTTTACTTTTTTAGGTAAACCAATTTTTATAAGTACATAAAAAATTCATAAATTTCATTATTCAGCAAATACTTATTGCATGCTTATGTGTCTAGCAGTGTCTGGCACTTTGTTCAGCAAATATTTATTTTGTGCCTATGTGTCTGGCAGTGTGTCAGGCACTGGGGTAATCCCAGTGATCCAGACAGACACTATTCCTGCCCTAGAGAAGTTTGCATCCTAGTGGGGAACAAGTCCCTACTGAGATCTTCAACAGTCATTTCTTTTTCACTGCCAAGTAAATGAAAGGAAGTATGATATGCTTTTAGCTTCAACTTTCTCTGTTGTGTAATTACAGTTTTATAGATGTTACTTTAAAAATTTTACTAATCATAAAATTTTAAGTTTGTTTGCTTTTTAAGATTTTATTTA